TATATATATATATATATATATCGATGCTTCCCATGGAAGGGCAAGATTGGGTGCGGGATAATAATGGGTTGACTGTAGGGATTGGCTTGTTGAGCGTAGTTTTGAGCAGCTTCAGTCGAGGCTCGTTTTGTGTTGCTGACGAGAACGGTATTAGATGACTCGTTATTTTTTATTAAGTTTTTTTCCCGCTACTTTTTTTTAGTGTGATAGCTGCTAAAAAAAAGTTAGTGCATCGGGAGCATCAAAGCTCGACAATACTTGGTTGTTTAATTTATTTTATTCTGCGAATGACAACAACGAGAAAGAAATCAGTTGTTTATTTATTTTTTAATCTATAATTTTCAATATAACTTGTTGATTTATAGGGTTCTGTTATTGTCGTAGATTTGTAATCCAAAAAAATTTCTTGTATACAAAGGAGAACATTGGTACAACAATATTATTGGTATCTGTGATAGCGTTATTGCTATTATTATTGTCGTAATTATTATCAGTATTTATTTACCATCTAGCAAACTGGTATTCAAAACATGCGGTACTCCTATATAGCAAATTTGTGATTGGCTGTTAAAGTCTGTGAATTTTGTTACCTTGTCAGCACGTTAACTGAATATTTGAATTGGTATGGTAAGGAAGAAAAACTGCGGTGGAACAGGTATATTTGAAATCAGATTCTTTTTTTGTTTTAAGTGACTTTAATTGGTTTTTTTCCGACTTTAGGATTAATTTTTTTTAGAGTATTCAGTGTCGTTTTATAATCTATATTTCAGGCCCATTTAGTGCAGGAAGTGTAGTATGGGTGCCGTATAAAGGTATTCAGTGGCCAGCTGTAGTAAGTTCTTTTGGTTTCCGGATGGTTCTTGTTTAAAGTTTTGACCATTCTCTTTCTCAACTAAAATCAAACTCGTTTTTTCTCATTCTTGCAGTAGATTTTAAGGATGGTTCAGAATACATTCCATAACAGTATGCACTAAAAGTCTTTTCTCAGGCAATTTGAAATGGCCAAATCAATAATACTTTACTGTTTGTAAAGTTTGTAGCATTTTTGCCTGCTGTAGCTATTTTTGGGATAACCATCTGAAGCATACGAAATTTCTTTTTTTAGATTAACAGGCTTTATGCTTCGCAGAAGAAAGTCACGTATAAATTTTTACCGCTCGATGAAAATGGTGGTGTTTTTAATGCCCCGGTCTCTAAAATTCGACCTTTTTTTTTGAAGGATCAGGTCAATATTTCTTATTTTTTTGTTTCTGCTGTCATAATTTTTTAATGGTAGTTTTGATAAAGAATTGACCGCTGAGGAGCATTTGCCAAATAAAGATAATTTATTTTTTTGATTTAGCGAATGTTTTGCAGCTACCTGCTGAGGGTGATGAAAAACTAAAGGCAGCTTTTGAAGCTGCTTTAGAAGGCGTTACTAAACAGCGACTGGAGAGAGGAGAATCACTAGATGATCCAGACAGCGATATAAATGAGGGTACTTGGACCTTAATGAGACTTGTTTATTTATTTATTCTAACTTATTTTTCTCCATTTACAATATTTCGTAAAATTATGCACTTAGAGGAGCAGTCGTTAGATGCAAGTAAGAAACGGGGTGGAAAACTTGAAGAGAAAGTAGAAACGAAGAGGAATGGACAGAAGGACTTTGTTGTGGGCGATATTGTGCTTGTAAATTGGTTTGGTTACGCTGAGTGGCCAGCTGTGGTAAAGAAATGATTAAGTTGTTTTCAAGATTCAAGATTGCTTCTTCAATTTTTTTTTAAATAGGTTAAATGAGTTTTCGGAGAATGGACATATTGCGTTTCTTTTGAAACTACTAAAAATACTTTTATTCCCACTATTCTTCTTTAAAATTGAGCAGTTTTTTAAGTAAATTTTTTTTTATAATCCTTTAGAGGATTAAACTTGGTTAGACTAGTCTTCGAAATGTATAAACTAGAACAGATATTTAGTTTCTGATAGCTTCTACCTTATACCACAGAAAACTGCAATTTTTTCCATTGAAACTCGTACTCTCAATAATTTTCGTGTTGCTTAAAAATTTGAAACTGTTATTTAGTGTATGCTTCAGGTTTTGGCTGTTCGTAGACGCACTCTTGCCTGTCATTTTTTTCCACTACATACAGGACATCCTGGGTGGTGTACAAAATCTGCTTGTCAGGAGCTAAATATTGACCAAAAAACTTTTACAGCTATGAGGAAAAGAGTACGGTTTTTCCATACTTCTTCATGAATTTGGTTTCTACAAAACTTCCTTAAACGCTCATTTTTGGAGAATCATCTTTATTACTTTTAAAGTGTGCTCAAAAAGAGCACTTGTAGAAGGAGTTTTTAGCAATTATAAGCTTTTTAAGTTTGAAACCTTAACATTATTGTTACTTTCTAGTAATTTTGTCTTTCAAAAATGTTTTTTGCATATAGTGAGCAATGGATTTGCTTATAGGAACCTACTAGGGAACGACAGATTGCGCTTGATGAGGCTTGGGAACTGATGACGAACACAACAAGGGAGGAGCGTAGAAGGCTTTATCAACGGACTTGTGAAACAATGAAGAGAAAGTCAGCCCAATCAAAATTTTCATCTAAGCGAGGTATAGAAAGTGATGCATTGTCAAGTAATGCCTCACCTGTTTGGACGGAAACTGATAAGGTGGGAAATGAACAAAGTAGTGCCTTTGCAAAAACTCAGGAAGAAGAAGGGACGTTAGATTTCAAGATTTGGGAGCTGGGTAAGTTACTTAAAGTAACATTTTCGAGTAATTTTTTTGATTTATTGGGCCCATAACGCATGCTCCTCGTCGGTAATTTAAAATCTTTTGCACAGATGTCGCTTCCGAAGAAAATTCAATGATGAGTGGTGTGGATGAACCACTGGTCAAAAGAAGGAGGCTAATCGAGGAGGTCAGTCATCCTTTTTTTTTGTAAGGGTTGATTGTATTTGACCAAAAGTTGCTTATATGTTTTTGATTTCTGCATTACAGTGGAGTTTCGCGAGCTTGAATATAACTGATCAGAAGACAGCTGATACAATGCAAAGACCTCTCTCAATAATTCATTTTGATTATGCGATGGAAGAGTTTTTGAAAGGCAGGAGATTTTTAGACTTCTTAACAAAACTACAGTTTTCTTGTGATTCATCCTATAGTGCGAGCTAGTATTATTCTGTTTAACTTTCTAGATTACTTACCTAATAAAGACCGGCGCAAAAAACCTGACTTTTCTCATGCTGTTCCGACGACCGAAAATATTAAAACTGACACAGCACAGTCAGAAATTGACGAGGCTGCTTTCAGTGAAGACATCCTGAGGGTTTCTTTTGAGAAACGGGAGCAAGAAGAAGTGATTGAGGAGGTCGTTGCAGGACTGAGTAAATTTTATTACCTTTTTTTTTTGAAGCTTTAAAAGTACTGCGCTGTTGAGAGTGAAATGTCGGTTCAGATGAGTAAAGAAATAGCAATCTTTTTTCTTTTACTTCGAAATGACTAAGGTGACCACTGTTAGACTACAATGTTAACTGTTGAAAATTTGATTAAATAATGATCATTGCAACTACCGCTTAGCAGACTGTATTGTGACGGCGTATCTTTTGCAATTTGCATCGCCCAAACTGCTGTTTCTTTCAGGAACTTGTCAAACTATCTTTTCTAGAAAGTTCGTTTTGATTTTATGTGGCGATCCCTAGTTTGAGTTTATTTTGAATCATTTATCAAATTAATGAGCAGGAAGTTTTTTTGGTCTTTTATCTCTGAAGAATCTTTGGCTAGCAGCGAGTCGGTAATTCCCACAATTTTTGCATATAATTTAGGTGACCATTTTTAAAATTTACTGAATCATAATTTGGACAGTAATTTCCGTGAAGATTTGATAACAAGACTTGGCCAACATTTCGTCTTAAACAGCCCAAGAAATTGTCTTGAATATAATTTGTTGTGTTTTAGTAGCTAAAGTCTCGAGTTTTATTGACCCCTGTCGCAAAAAAGAGGAGGAGTGAAGGAGTGTATTCTGGTTTTTTTGCGGCGACTGTTGCTGATAAAAATATAAATGTTTTATTAGTTTTTCCTTTTTTTGTTGTGATCAGTTGTAATGTCCAAAGCCTGGTGCTGTGAATTTTAAGCTGTCCATATAACTATTCCAACTTTGCTTTTTTGAGCTATGCTTTTTTGCCCTTTATGTTTACTGGTTTCCTTCTTACTATATTGATCTCATTATTAATGGTTTTCCCGCTGTCCCGACAAAGTGTTAGAATGTGAACTTTGTTGTATCATTTTATCTCTGCTTTTTTTTTGAATTAAATGATTTTCATGCTATTCGTAAATCGCTGAATTTGCATCACGAATGTGAGGCCGACGTTGAGGATTTGAAAGTAGAACTGTTAAAAATTTGATTTTATAGGTCATGAATCAGCAGTTGTAGTTTTGAACTCGTGAACTTAGAAACTTGATTCAACAGC